GGAATAGCTTATCTCTGAAAATTAGAGTGGTTTTGTCAAAGGAAGGTTAATTACTGAAAATATCCTTCTTGCTCAAGAAATTGTTCAAGGCATCAATCATAAGAACAGAGGGGGGAACATGATCTTCAAATTGGACATGGCTAAGGCTTACGACAGAATGTCATGGAACTTTCTCATTGCTGTTATGAGAAAATTTGGTTGTTCCGAAGGGTGGCTAGATATCATTTGGTAACTCATATCAGATGTTTGGTATTCTATTATTATTAATGAAACAAGAAAAGACTTCTTTACTTCTGCTCAAGGGGTCAAACAAGGGGATCCTTTATCACCTTCTCTATTTATCATTGGATCTGAGGTCTTAACTAGACTTCTTAATAAATTGAATCATAATGAGAACTTTACTCCCTTCACCATGGATATGAATGGCCTCGTTATAAATCACTTAGCTTATGCTGATGATATTGTGATATTCAGTGGAGGCAATAACAAGTCCATCAAACTCATCCAAAAGCAGGTGAGGAGATATGAAAAAGCTTCTGGACAGAAGGTTAACAAAGACAAGAGCTTCTTTATTACTGCCCCTAATACATCTCCTGGTAGAATTAATAGAATGAGACAAGCTTCTGGTTATATAGACAAGAACTTTCCCTTCAATTATCTAGGATGTCTAATTTTCAACGGCAGGAAAAAGATCAGCCATTTTGATGGTTTGTTGGCTAAAGTTGTGAAGAAGCTGAACGGATGGCAAAGCAAAATTGTTTCTTATGGTGGTAAAATGGTTTTAATTAAAAATATTCTATAATCTATGCCCACTTACATTCTTTCAGCTATGAACCCTCCTAAAGGAACATTTTATCAGATGGAAAAATATTTTGCTAACTTCCTTTGGGGTTCCTCTGAAGGAAAAAATAAGTATCACTGGGTATCCTGGAGTAAGCTTTGTTTACCTAAGGATGAAGGTGGTGTAGGTATAAGGAGCATGGAATATATATCTGACACTCTAAGCATCAAGAGATGGTGGAATCAAGTGAAGCTTAATAGTGTAGTTTCCAATCAAACAACTCAATTCATTACTGATATATCCATTGGAAATCAAAGCAAACCTGATTTCCCTATTTGGAATGCTTCGAATGATGGTCTTTTTTCTAACAAATCTGCTTGGCATTCTGCTACAAATCATAGAAAAAAATCCTTTCTTTTCTAATATTTGGCATAATAGAGTTCCTTTTAAAATTTCCTTTTTAAATTGGGGATTCATTAATAAAAGACTTCCTTTTAACGATATGATAAACAGGTTTGGCACTAACATTATGCTTAGCTGTTTTTGTTGCAGATTTGCACATAATGAGACTGTGCAGCATGTATTTATCGAAGGTGAGGCAGCACAATATATATGGGCTGTCATGGGCAATCCTCTTGGAATCCAACATTGTATCTAACCAATAATTGCAGTTTTTAAGAAATGGTGGGATAGGAAGTCTTCCAATGTGGTCCATAAAACGATGCTGCAAATCACTCCTCTTATGATTTGCTGGGAATTATGGAAACAAAGGTGTGCTTGTAGATATGGAGATCAAAAATAAATTCGATAAAATAGGATGGTTTACCAATGCATCTGGAATATCAAGGCTATAATTTCAAAATCCTTTCCCAGCTTGGAATCTCTCAACCAGTGGCCTATCATTTGTGATACTGTTGAAAGGTTAAAACCTTTACAAAGTTGGAGGCAAGTTGTTTGGAATAAACTACAAGAAGGATGCGTTCAAGTTAACACCGATGGTAGTTTCTTAAAGGATAACGACATCGCTGGAATTTGTGGCATAGTCAGGGATAATAATGGGGATTTTATCATGGCATTTTCTATCTCTATCAAATTCAAGAGCAATAATATGGCAGAAGCTATGGCAACGGAGTTTGGAGTGAAATGGTGTAACCAACAAGGCTATACTAATTTTACTTTGGAACTTGACTCCATGGTGATAGCCAACATGCTGCAAGATAGACATTACACCAATCTGAAGCTCAAACAAGTCATAGACAATATTCTGGGCATCAAAGAGAAAACTGGAATGCATGTTACTCATTGCTACAGGGAGGACAATCAGGTAGCAGACTGTTTAGCCAAGTTGGCGTCTCTGACGGGGCACGAATTGATTATCAACTCTTATCATCAACTGCCCAGAAATGCGAAAGAAGCATTTCAGCTTGACAAAATTCAAATGCCTAGCATTAGGACAAAGTATGACAAAGCAAACTTCCATTTTAGTTAATGTATATAATCCTTTCCTAGAAGGAAACTGTAATTTTGTAATTCCTTCTGGTTTTTGTGAGTTGATAGTATCACCATTCTGTGTTGTAACTTGAGGTAAGGTTTAGCCCTCCTCTAATCGTTTTTGCTAATACAACACACCCAGAGATATAGCTAGGTAACTTTATATAAAAATATAAAAAACAATTCGACGATATTGAGAAAGAAAGGCTTAAGAGCTTCGAATTTGAAAGTATCCCTTGAGAAGACTTGTTAACCTGCAAGAAGATTTAAAGTTCAAATCCATCGCCTCAAAAGTTTAGATTAATTAAAGATGAGAATGATTTTAGGGAATTACACGACGAAGATAGTTAAGTTGAAACAACTAACACGGCAAAGATATGATTTGATAAGCCCTCTAAAATATAGTGAGATGAAACTCCTAAATTTCATGGAAAAAAAGAACTGTACTCACCACGAATTTTGCCGATGGAATGACTAATTTTCCAAATAATATATTGTTTATTTGAAACTATGGAGCACATAAAACAATCAAGTGCAATAAAATCTAAACCAGCAAAAGAAGAATCTCAAGATGTCATTGCAATACTAATAGGAATGAATAGTGATCTCTCACGAACGAAGACTACAAAACCATGAAAATTAATCCAAACAACCTTTGGCTTTTCCTCTTCCTTTCTTCCCAAACGTAACCTTTACCCATTCTATCCCCTTTAGGAGTAATATCTTGCATTGAAACAATAACAACAACAACAACAACCCAGTATATTCCCACTAGTGAGGTCTGGGGTAGAGAGGCTGTTTTCAAATGAACCTCGGCATCCTTCCCTCCAAGAACTTCCCACCTTGCTCTTGGGGTGACTCGAACTCACAACCTCTTGGTTGGAAGTGGAGGGTGCTTACCATCAAGGTAACTCACCTTGTCCCAAATATCTTGTATTGAAAAATGAAACTATTAATTGCCACATTAATTACTCATAATCTATAGTTGTGGATTTCAAAATATTGATAGATACATCCTCAAAGAACACCTTCATACATCGTAAGCCATATTAATTTTCTTGACATTTACTGAAAACTAATTTTATTTGTAGGTTAGAGGGTAATTTGGTTATTTAGTTTTTAAAGAATATTTTAGTACACTAACTTCATTTAAGAGTGTTCGTACTTATAATATAGTATGTTATCATATGATTATATATATGGCTATATTTCAGAAATGGCGTTTTTCCTTTTAAACTTTGGAACTAAGCTAGAGAACGTGATGACGCGAGAAGCACTATATCTTACTTTGAATGCTTTTCTTGCACTAAAGCTCATAGGGATTTGTTGCTTTTCCTAATGACTTAGCTTTTAGCTTTAGTGTTCACAGTTTTCAGTTCAACAAATCATGTAGAGAGAGCGTTCACTTTTGATGCTTTATACTATGTGGAAATTTGAACATGTTATATGTTACTTCTCATACCACTTGAAAGAAAGAAAAGAAAAGAAAAAAGGCTCTGAAAAACTACCCTTCTAGTTTTTGAAGGGAACTGTGTAAAAATTTCCTTAAACTATTTGAAGAACATACATGGTAATGTTTAAATACTTTTAAAACATCATGAAATTATTGATATGTACAGGAATGGCAGGAGGTGCGAGGCGGGTTCTGTCTGAACCCGCACAATTTCAACCCGTAGCGCTCCGCTCCGCATAGGATTTAAACCCGTATCCATCCGCCCCACACTCCACCCGCATTCACCCACCCCACAAATCTTTTTTATAAAAATTCTCTTTTTTGTGGTTTTTTTGTCAATAAAAATTAGCCGAAGAAAATCCTGATTGTTGTCTCATATGTAATTGTTCTGTCGTTAGTTCACTACTGTATTTGTATTTTCATTGGCATTACCGTATACAATTATTTTTATAACTTACAATGATTCTAGAATGACTTTCATCTGCAAATTTAAAATCTATGCCAAAAATTTGTCGTTGGTTCCAACTTATGCTAGCAAAACAGTCTTGGTTTTTGATTGATGTTTCCTGTTTAATACTACTCAAGAATATAATATTTAGCCTTTATGTCTGTTAGTTCAAAAAATAAAATTTCCAACCCGCGACCTCATGATTTTTTTTAGTTAAAAATTGAACCCGCCCCTCCTCGCAACCGCAAACTCCCAAACCCGCACCACCCCGCTAACACTCAGACCCGTCTCGCCCCATTGTCATCCCTTAATTTGTAATTGATATTGAACTAAAAATAACATCACACTTGTGGGCGTTTGGACATAAGAATTGTAAAATTCCAAAATATGGGGAAAATAATTTTCAAGTGAAAATGGTATTTGAAATATAGAGTTGTGTTTGGACATGAATATAATTTTGAGTTGTTTTTTAAGTTTTGTGAGTGATTTTAGTGAAAATTTTGAAAAATAACTTTTTGGAGTTTTTCAAATTTTTAAAAAATTTTCAAAATATATATTCAAGTGAAAATAAAAATTTTTATGAACAAACGCCTGATTTCGAAAAAAAAATAAGTAAAAAACTTTTGAAAAAAAAGAAAAAAAATTCTCATGTCCAAACCGGCTCTTAATTTAGTACATGAATTTTCCAAGAAAAGTTGGAAAGTAGTCAAGTGAGGCGGCTGCAGAAAGTTTTGCTCTTTTTTTTTTGTCCGCAAATGACCCATGATAGCTCCATTCCTTCGTCATCAAGTCATAAAAAGAGTAAATACCCAGTTGACTCCATTTTACACAGTTTCAAGACCAAAGTAATTTCCAGAAGGATCCTTAGTTGACTCTATTTACACGTTCAATTTAAGTCCAAGAGGAATGTTATAAAAGACCATGATGTTTCAATGATCTAAAACTATACATTCTATAACATTTGAAAACAAGAAACTTGGGCTCTTTTTTGCTTCAGAAAAAAATTCATTTTTAGGATATGGAGTGTGATTCATCCTGTGATCTTACTCATCTTAGTGAAGAGTTGTCAGCGAAAATAGAGGAGAAATTGAAGTTGAATCACAAAGAAGTAGATGCTGCTACAGATGGTAAGTCAGATATTACTCTTCGTCCATTGGACCTCACCGATGTTGATGATTTTATGGAATGGTTTGCGGATGATAACGTTAGTAAGTTCTGTTCTTGGGACACTTTCACATCCAAAGAAGATGCCATGAATTATGTAGCTGATGTTGCCATACCACATCCATGGTTTCAGGCAATTTGCTTAAATGGAAAACCAGTTGGTTCTATTTCTGTATCACCATTTCATGGAACTGATAGGTGCAGGGGTGAACTTGGATATGTGTTAGCATCAAAATATTGGGGCAAAGGGATTGCCACCAAGGCGGTGAAGATGGCGGCGGCCTCCATCTTCGTGGAGTGGCCACACTTAGAGAGACTTGAAGCTGTGGTGGATGTTGACAACCCAGGATCACAGAGGGTGTTGGAAAAAGTTGGTTTTACAAAGGAAGGTGTTTTGAGGAAGTATTATCTTCTTAAAGGGAAACCAAAAGATATTGTTATGTTTAGTCTTTTATCCACTGATCCTCAAGTCACCTACTTTATTATGTAATAGGTTGGAAAATCTTCAGTTAATTGGCGTCACCAAAAGGTCATCAGCATCAGAAACTTTGAATGGCCTGAGAAATAATCTAGAGGAGTTCATTTTTAGTTCTAGCTATGATCTCTTTTGTTGACTCTGTTATTGGATTTGTAACTCTTAGTTGAGTGATTTTTTGACCATATCAGAGTAGACAAGTATGAGCCACTTATATTCTGTGTAACTGCCAATGTGATAATGTGGAAAACTGCAAATATGGATGGACGGTTTCTATCTAGGAAAGCTGGTCTTGATAAATTTCCCATGTTAGCTAGAGACTAGAATATGGCTGGATACTATAATAAAATAAGTAGTGTTTTTCTTTCATATTGACAAGTACTCTAAATGCATATACTCCCCTTTTTTTTAATTACGTGAACTCATTCGAGTGACCACGAAATTTAAGAAAAAAGAGAAATTTTTTAAATTTGTGGTGTAAGATGAAACACATTTATTTTGTGTGGTTATAAATCAGTACATACATGGAAATTGTTTCCAAATATGGAAAGTGGTCATTCTTTTTGGCACAGATTAAAAAAAAATAGGTTTACAAAAATTAAAACGGAAGGAGTATTAGTTTTTCACTATCTACTAAGTTCAAGGTAGAGAACTCCTAATTCAACATGGTGACACGAATAGCACTTTATTCTTGTGGCTTTCTAGCTTCCATGGACAAAAAAAAAAAATACTTTTTACATGGACAAATTATTTAATATTTCTAATTCAAAATCGAACATCAAACTTTGATTATATATATTTAAAAAAGGACATATAAAAAAAGATGAATTACTTGACATAATAATGAATCAAGCTTAGCGGCCAAGAGGGTCAATTTCGAAGAGAAGACATCTGTTCAAGAGGGGTCCTTTATGTTCTTTTAATTTTCAGAAGTGATGCGCGGAAATACTTATGTACAGGCTATTTACACCAAACTAATTCAACTTACCATAATTAATTGATTTAATAAAGTAAAAATATTAATTAATCGATCACAATTAAGTGATAGAACTCTATTAGCATATACGCAAACGTTAATGCATTAGACAGTTCCTCGGCAAGGGTCAAGGAGCAGCTGGCTTCTCTCTTTCACACGATGGTGACTGTGGGTGTACTATCTCGGGTTATTAGCTTCATTTCATTTATCATTTATGCTAAATCAGTTCCACTTATTATTTGAGTTATAACAATTTTGTATACGGGTAAAATTCGGTTTCCCGGTAAAACAAACGGGACTGGAACGTGATCATAAGGAATCAGAGTCTGGGCGAAAAACCTCTCGCATCGGGGATCGAGCAAAACATCCTTCCTCGGAAGCATCGGGGCCACATCTCCCGGGTCCGGTTCGAATCCCTCAACTTCGGAGAGCATTACCAAATGGATGAACACGACTAACAAAGAGCTGTGACATCCGTGCCCAACTGGATGTCACAGCATAAATCTTGGCCCATATCAGCAATGAATCAATGATTAGCATAAAGAAAGATTTTTATCTTTTTTTAGAATAGTACTTAAGATGAAACTCCCTTATTATATAAAGGGGAAACTAACTATTCATTAGGCACATTGTATCATGCACATCAAGGCAATTTATTTCAATTCTCTTTGTTGTTCAAAGTTCCTATTCTTGTTCTTAAGTTCTTCATAAGTATAAGCTTTGAATCGAGGGCAGGTTCTTCGCCAAGCCATCAACGAGCTCAGAATTACCCTTATCATTGTTTTGGTCGCCTATTACGTTTTTCATTTGCTTAATCTTACATCATTAATCACTCGTATTAAATTAATTCACATATTCTTAAAAACACATATAAATTCAATTGTTATCCGTTTTTTAGGGTAAACAATTTGGCGCCCACCGTGGGACTAAGGATAATAGTGGCAATTTGATACAAATTTCCATAACGCACTCTATTTTACACTTGTTCATTGAGCTTTTAATTTCAGGTCAAATTAAAAATGTCAAACTCCCAATCTGCCTATTTGAACGTTGATGCTGAGTCTGGCTACCATCGCGAGAACAACAATGTGGTGCCCAGTAACAAGGTGCCCCTTGTTAACCCCAACGGAGTTCCAGTCGCTGACCCGATCGATGTTAACTCACATGTGGCTATCGAAGCAAACTTGCCTACCCACGCTGAAAACAGCATTCGCGAGGGAGCCCGATCGATAGCCCGGAGTACACACGACGGCAAAGGTGATGGGATCAACGTGTGGGTGATCTTCTAAATGTTACAGGCTCAACATGCAGCAATAGCCCAATTGCAAAATCAAAGCCGCACCCCCAGCAGAGTTGAGCCCGAACCATCCCAGGAAAAAACTCGCAGAAATGAATCGGCCACAGAAAGGCCGGGTGAAGCTGAACCCGGACCAACTCCGAGATAATAAAGATTCTTGAGGAACTAACAAAATGGGCAGAATCGGGAGAAAAATAAATCGAAGCCAACGAAAAAAAAGTGGAGACCTATAATTCCAGTGTTGATCAAACCCCAGGAGCAACCCTGATATTGAAAGTCCTGGATTCCAAGAAATTTGTCCCAAAGAAGTTCTGTATACCCGAAATTCCAAAGTATAACGGGACCACAGATCCGAATGAACACGCGACCTCCTACACATGTGCCAACAAGGGAAATAACATGGAAGATGACGAAATCGAGTCGGTTCTACTAAAAAAGTTCGGGGAAACCTTGTCTAAATGAGCAATGATATGGTATCACAACCTACCCCCCAATTCCATTTATTCATTTGCTATGCTTGAGGATGCCTTCGTAAAAGCTCATGTCGGGCCCATCAAAGTCGAGACTAGAAAATCAGACCTTTTTAAGGTCAAGCAAAGAGATAACGAAATGCTCAGGGAGTTCGTGTCGAGGTTTTAAATGGAAAGGATGGATCTGCCCCCGCTTGCGGACGATTGGGTTGTTCAAGCATTCACTCAAGGACTCAACCCCCAAAGCTCTTTGGCCTTATAGCAGCTGAAACAGAATTTGATAGAGTACTCGGCGGTAACTTGGGCTGACGTCCATAATAGGTACCAATCGATAATCAGAGTGGAGAATGATCAGCTCGAGGCCCCATCTGGGTCCGTGTATCCCATCAGAACTAATGATAATTCTAAAAGAGTCGTCGATCATGAACCAAGATCGAGTTGTACCTGTACTTAGCGGTATCCGAGATAGTAGTAAGTGGAGTCTTAGTCCAAGAGAAGGAAGGTACGCAATTTCCTATTTATTATGTTAGCAGGACTCTAGGCGAGGCCCAAACAAGGTATCCTCACCTGGAGAAATCGGCGCTCGCTTTGCTAAGTGCCTCCAGAAAGTTAAAGCCATATTTTCAATGCCATCCCATATGTGTTGTAACTACTTACCCATTGAAGAACATAATGCACAAACCCGAGCTCTCGGGATGATTGGCCAAATGGGCCATGGAAATTAGCGGGTACGATATCGAATATCGACCTCGAACCACCATCAAATCTCAAATTTTGGCCGACTTCACGCCGGCCTTAATACCCTAAGTCGAAAAGGAATTGTTGTTAACCTCAGGGACCTCCTCAGGATTCTGGACCCTTTTTACTGATAGAGCCTCGAACGCAAAGGGGTCCGGACTCGGCAACGTGTTGAAGCCACCTACGGGTGGCGTAGTTAGACAATCTATTAGAACTGTGAAATTGACTAACAATGAGGCTGAGTATGAGGTTATGATTGCAGGTCTCGAATTGGCTAAAAATCTGGGGGCCGAAGTGATCAAAGCTAAATGTGATTCCCTCCTTGTGGTGAATCAAGTCAATGGGACATTCGAAGTGAAAGAGAAATGAATGCGAAGATACTTGGATAAACTACAGGTAACGGTGCATCGATTTAAGGAATGGACCCTACAACACGTGCCCCAGGATCAAAATAGTGAAGCCGATGCTCTGGCTAACTTGGGGTCATCGGTTGATGATGATGAATTCAGGTCGGGAACGGTCGTACAACTCATGAAATCAGTAGTGGAAGAAGGCCATGCCGAGATAAACTCAACGAGTTTAACTTGGGACTAGAGAAACACGTATATAAACTACTTAAAGACTGGGAAGTTGCTCTCGGATCCCAAAGAATCGAGAGCTCTACGCACGAAGGCAGCCAGGTTTAGCCTGTCCGAAGATACTCTATTCAGAAGAACGTTCAATGTCCCACTCGCCATATGCTTGGGACCGGGAGACACCGAATATGTTTTGAGGGAAGTTCATGAAGGCATATGCGGAAACCATTCGAGGGTAGAATTGTTGGTTCGTAAGATAATCAGAGTCGGCTATTACTGGATCAGCATGGAGAAAGATGCAAAGTACTTTGTGCGAAAATGCGACGGCTGTCAGAGGCACACACTAATGATCCATCAACCTGGGGAGTTACTACATTTGATCATGTCACCTTGGACGTTCATGAAATGGAAAATGGACATCGTCGGTCCCCTACAATGGGCACCCGGTAAGGCTCAATTTATACTATTTATGACTGACTATTTCTCTAAATGAGTCAAAGCTCAAGCGTTCGAGAAGGTCCGGGGAAAGAAGTCATCGACTTTATTTGGGACCACATAATATGCTGGTTCGGTATACCGGCCGAGATAGTATGTGATAACAGGAAACAATTCATCGGGAGCATGGTAAGTAAATTTTTCGAGGACCATAAGATCAAAAGGATCTTGTCAACACCCTATCACCCTAGTGGGAACGGATAGGCGGAGTCGACAAACACAACCATCCTTCAAAACCTTAAGAAAAGGTTGATCGATGCCAAAGGAAAGTGGAAGAAAATTCTGCTCAAAGTTTTATGGGCATACCGCACGACCTCAAAATCCAGTACCGGGGCCACTCTGTTTTCGTTGGTCTACTGTGCCGAAGCATTAATACTGGTTGAGGTCGGTGAACCCAGCCTCAGGTTCCGATATGCAACCAATGAATCGAACTGTGAGGCCACGAGCACGAGCCTGGAACTACTGGATGAGAGGCGCGAGGCCTCCCTAGTCCGGTTGGCTGCCCAGAAGCAGCGGATAGAAAGATATTATAACCAGAGAGACAACCTCCAATACTTCAATATCAGGGACTTGGTGTTAAGAAGAGTAACACTGAACACCTGAAACCTGAACGAAGGGAAGATGGGACAAAATTAGGAAGGACCATATCGAGTCACCGGTATTACCGGTAAAGGTTCATATAAACTCGAAGAAGGAAATGGTGCACAACTACCGAACAACTGGAGTGTGACCCACTTAAAACTATACTACTGCTAAAGTACAACCTCATTTACTTTTCTTTTAATATTACGAATTGGACTAACACTTGCAGGCAACAA